AGGGAGTAATTAGGTTAGTCCCTTACAAATTTCATATGTTAGGACTTAATATATTTAGTACACGAGTTGGAGTAAAATTAAAAAGATTTCGGCAGATCCTCAATGTTCGGGGAAATTCCATATAAAATACGCATTCGCTGACGAGACACCAATCATTGTAGACAAATAGAAGCGGAAGAGTTATGATAAAATAAAGAGCTGCACACAGCGAGCCTTCTGAAATCAGGCATTAGTATGATGCGCCGCTACCGATACCTAAAATATATACAAAGACTTGATGAATCTATATTAAGATAATAACATACCACCACACTATCAGAGGTTTTATAAGAGCTTAAGTACTAAATCTGCTACCACAGAGTCCGATTCCGAAGTTGAGGATAATGGAGGTTAATAAAAATAATAAAAATATCACTATTTTGAACATTTTTTGATTAAGCTGATTATGGAGGCAATAAACATTTCTTTAAAAATAATAAAAAATTAATAATAACCCTGCTTGTTTTCATATTCTCTAAATTAATTTGTCCCTATATTTATACTCTTGACTTACATGCAGGCACATAATGGACTATTTACTATAAGAAGTAGGTATTACATGATACAAATTAAATATTCAGTTACTTTCCGCATTATAAAAGCTATTTTTATAAATACACTAACTAAACTAAAATAAATAGCTCCCTAGAAATACGTAACTCGATGTACAAAAAATGATTTTCCGTTAAATAACAACGTAATTACACTTGCAACTCTAGATTATAATGAAATATAGAAGAGTATAAAGGCGTAAGTAGCGTTAAATTTGTTCATATATTTGAAAATACATAACAAAAAAGCAATAATTGTAGTTACCCCTGCAAATGTTCTTTGTGTTTCGTGGAATACAGAAGTAACCGTGTTTTTTTAGATTATCTGGAAGTACATGAAGCTGTTCCTAAATTAAATAACACATGTAGTTGAAGGCAACTGTGACCTACGATTTTCTCTTTGAAACTTATTTCTAGAACTCATACAAAAAATATAGGACAGTTTTTTTAAGCTCCTGAAAAGTTGGTGAAAATCACTTACTTCCTTTTTCCAGGAATAGTGCGAAATATACGCCATTGGTTATATCCTCTGCTAGAGAGAGAGAGAGAGAGAGAGAGAAGACGACGCCTGGCTTAGTTTTCATAAACATAATCTATAATTATAAATGTCTAACAGTGTACTAACTATATATTTTAAATTATCCGTACTCAGTTATACTGAGATCCTTAAATCTACTTTTTTTTTTCACAAAAATACAAGTGACATTTATATTACCTAAACAGCTAAACAGATCACAGAGTCGGAATGGGTTACGATAGTATATAGGTAATAAATAAATGAAATATTCAGAGGTATTCACATAGTATTTGGAAAACATAAACTGAAGATCAGGTAGAACTTCAAAGACAGCTCTTTCGCTGGCTAGATGGAAGATCTAGGGGAGTGTTGCAATTAAATTGGAAATGGAATGTTCATTCATTATAATTATCGTCCGGTAAACCATCAAAGGTCAAATCTATAGGCAAACTCCACGTTATTTGTAATATTTTAGCTAATATCCTTCGTTCCCAAACAGTTATACATGTACACAAAACATACATACAACAACGGTTGATAATATTATTAAATTATGATTGATTTAACAAGTATGCATAAACATATTTGTCATATAAACCAACTTTTTATTAGAATAACCTTTAACGGGTATGGGTATTTGAAACCAATTGATGACAATAAAATTCTTTGACAAACACGTAGAGTTTGGGAAATTGTTTGATTGCTTACCGGGCTCTTTACCTATAAAAATATCACTAAAAATATTAATTGCTAAAAATGCAGTTTATCTATTCGAATAATTCGTCTTTAAATCGATGTTTTGAGTTCAAATTAACATTAAATGACGGACTTAACTATAGTATTATTATTATACATCTATCATTAAATATTGTAAGCGATAAAGGACATTACTCTATGGTTAGTGAAGTAAGTAACTAGCTTTATCAACGACTAGTACATTATCACAAATAATAAAATTGCTACATGTAAACAAAGCTTTGTCCATTTATAAATATGTTCTGCAGTTAAAAATATGTAAATACATAAGACATTTAAATAATCCTTCATGATAGATCTAAGAGCACGTGATATATCTATCGCTTGTGGAATGTCATTACATTATTATTTTAGATGGAGTTTACCAAATATTTTATTCATTGTAGGTTTTTTTTATTCTTTATTGTAAAAGACATATGGCCTTCTCTACCACGGGCGTTTGTGTGTTATCTGATTTTATTTCTTAACATTGCTATCAGTGTTATGAAAGCAAGATTTTAACAAGATCAATTGAAATTATTAGATATCTAGACGAATGGCTATTTTTCGTATTTTCTCCTCCATATAAAATTGCAAGAAATCTAGACTTTTAAATATTGCAAATAAAATTCATAATAAGCCTTTTTATGCCATGACTTAAGCCTTTTTAATAATAGACAACGTTTATCTATTATTTTAATAATACACAGCATAAGTCATAAGGTTATAAACTCTATAAGATACATTTTACAATATTTATATAATTTGGTATGTAAATATTATATAATATTTATTTAATATACGAGATAAGAGATTCACTACATTTCATGAATAATAATCAAAATATCTTGAAAGATAAAATAAAATAAATTGCAAAAATTATTTGTTTGACTTTTCTGTCAAGCACCATTATTCGATAGACATGTAGGTATATTATGCTGTAACTTTTTCATTGCCCAATTTAAGTATTAAAGTTAAATATATAGACTTGTTACTACATTATTTATCTTTAAATATGTGTAGACCGAATAAGCGAGTCGCAGTGATTAGGTTTGCGGGGTGCATAATATTCAAGCGTTACCACACCCTAGGGTTGCCAACCATACTTTATAATAACGTATCCTACTTTATTTTTGGTATACTTTATACTTTTACATACAAATAAAGTATGCAAAAATACTTTATTTCCAACCTTTACTGTGATGCTTAAAACTATAATAAATAATGAGTATTTTCATTATGGGAACTTAACGATTTATAATTACTGAACGAAATGTTACATGCCAATTGTGAGTTGTTATATTTGTCAAATTGAAAAATACTTCTTTTATATTTCCTAATACTTTTTTTTTCCTATTCAAACCAGTTTATACGTTTTTTTGTCAAAAAAAGTTGGCAATCCTACCACACCCCCACTCTTATCACAACCAGGGAACCTCATGCTTTCGCTAATGATAGGGTTTCCCATACGAATCCAATTCAACTATCGAATAGTTTCATTGTTTAATAAATAACTATGTAATCAATAACAAATCATTCAATTAAATTGAGAAATTTTGTCAGATCATCGCAAATCAACATATAATTGTATATAAGAATGTATCTAGTTACCAATACTTATTAACAAGTTATGTGTGACACTAAAATAATTTTGATAATGAATTTATACAATGCCTTTTAGCGTAGCTTTGAATAAATATCTATTGAGTGCAGCCCTGGATCTTCATTTTTTTGAGGCGCAGCAAAAACTAAAAAATGCTCCAACCCTTCCCTGCCTTTTCCGTCCGGCGAATATTTTTGCAATATACATATTAACATACAATTTATGCAATTAGTATTGCTGTTGATTATTGTGACTTTTTAACGATTATATCATGATTTTCAAATGCATTAAACACAAACAATTTGTCCTCATGACTGACAGATGGACGGACAAATGGATGGACCCATTTGTCCGTCCATCTGTCAGTCATCAAGTTGTCATGAATGCATCAAAAACGATGAGTTGTATATTCATCTGCCAAGTTCCGCGTGAAAAAGCCGCCCCCAGAACTTGCCGCCCGAGGTATAGACCCGTGTTTCCTCACCCTAGATCCGGGGCTGGATGAGCATAGCAAGAGAATAGAACAATATATACAAATATTACGCAATTGATAATAACATCGATGTTTTACTGATCATAAGACATGGCGTTAGAAAACATTAAATCTAATAATACTTATATAATAGTATAAACTAAATTTAAATAGTTGGACGAAAAGTAATTTAGGAACAGAAACTTTACTTCCATAACACTAATGTTAGCACAGAACAAGAAACTAGAGCAAATGGCATTGAGCTGTGTTGAAACTTTTTAAATTTAACCTCTCCAGTGAAATTATGACTTTCTTCTGAAGTCATTCTTCTTTCTAATACGCGTTCTCTTTTTATTTCTACTTCTTTGTGTTCCAGCCATTCTGGAGACACAAGAAATAGTGCATCGTGCGGAACTACACCATTTTTTACGTTGGCCATCCAGATTTTTCTAACCTATTTACGTATAGGTATCATCTACACTTAGTTCATTTAAGTACCAACATTTAGCTAGCAAAAGTTTAATTCCCGAGATACTATCTCTCTTCTTCAGTTCTCAAGATCTATGGTATCCAAGACGTCATTTTGATTGTTTGTAATAACTACATAATTTCGAATTATATAGAATGAAGATCTTGGTCTTGGCCAAACTATACTATTGCATGTAGTTTTTTGTTCTGTGCTCAATTAATCATTAATCAATTGCTAGTATTCCAATAGTATGCCAATCACTAAGCGGTACGCTTAAAAAATAATAATTTTAAAACATTAGCTTTTTATACAAAAGTATAATAAGAAATAAATTTAACACCTACCTATAGTTTCTTTAAGTGAAATAAGAATAACCAGTTTGTTCTTTTTTTGAAAACGTAAAATAACCTTATAATTTTTATAATTTAATGTGATGTTTTCAAGCACTGCTGTTCTAATTTTAAACCGAATAGCTCTAATTAAAAAAATGTTTTTATAATATTAAAATATTTTCCTTAGTCTGCTGTTGTTTTCGATTCTATTTTTAAAAACTGAACCGCAACATAGACAAGAATGGCAGTTATTGTAACTGAACGTTTTTTAAAGTTTACATATTAATAGATGGAGATGCAGTCGGGCTTGTTGAAATCTCCGAAGACGTTAAGTTCATACAAACTGGCCAGTGTGATGAACAGCAAATACCACACCATGAGCACGGCCCCATACTTGCGGTCCAGCTTCCAGCCGTTGGCGTGCGTCGCCACCACGAGGAACACCACCGTCGAGAACAGCGACAGCGTCGAGTAGATCAGGCCTGTACACAAACAAATACATATATATTTATAGTTTATTCAGGCTTTCGTTACTAGGAAAATATTTTTTATATGAATCTGCGTAACTAGTTTTTTTTTTAATATTTGTAAATATTTAGAATTGTACAATTTAATTGTTAGATTTATTTTGAAGGTCTTGTCCGCTTATGTAAACTCTCAATTAAAATAAAACTATTTTTGTGTGAAAATGTGCAAACTATATATTATTCATTTTTCATAAGCATCCTGTTAAATCTTAGAAAACGTAGTGTTTTAATGAATTTATTGTTAAAAATTACCCACCTACATATTTCTTGTTTTTAGTTGAGATTAAATTTTATTTAAAAATATTTTTATCATCAAAATTATGCGGTTAATTTCTAATCTAGTTTATATTAAGCTCTTGAATTTAATTGAATTAATTTACCAATTTATAATTTTTGATTGTCCTCTTTCACTTTGTTTCACTTACTTTAGCTTGTTTGGTAAGCTGCATGTCGAGTATGAGATATGACAATAAAAATAACATAGTATGTATCGAGGCATAACATATTAGTCAAAGGTGTCACATGTTAACTTGTTGTCTGTGCTCTTACTTATATATATATATATATTTGCTGCCTTTATACGTACACTAATTTAGGAGCGAATAACCTTTCACTGAGGAAAAAATGTAGTCAAAGAAAACGTGAAAGACCGCACGCGCCGTCAGCTTACGTATTCCCGCGTCCTTGAAGTTTTAGCGCCATTTTGTAATAATTAATTACCATTGCAAAATGGCTGATATTAAAGCAGACATAAATGCAGACAGCAAAGACATAATTATTAATGTAAAATAAAATTTTAATAGTGAAATGACATTAAATACGCGCAATAATGCGTGAAAGAACACAAAAAAAAATGTCTCATTATTTAACATTTTTTTGTGTTCCTATTACCTTTGCTGATGACATTGACGTGGCTGCCGGGCTGGATGATAGCGGTTTGGATGAACCAGGGCAGCCCCAGGCACACCAGGATGTCGAACACGTTCGAGCCCACAGCATTCGACACGGCCATATCGCCGTATCTGTACAAAGTATTTTTTTTTTAAAACTTCAATAGCAGAGAAATTACTGGGTATGGAAGAATAACGCTTTAGCCTTGCGGAATGGCATCGCATTATGGCGTCATATGCTGCTATAAGATCCATTGTAATAAATAATAATAATAAATATCCCTGGACTATTGACACAGCGTCCTGGACTAGTACCTGTACTAGTCCCACAGTAAGCAGAGCTTGTGTTATTTGTACTAGACAACTGATATAAATATATAGATATATTTTTTTGTATATGCACACATAATGTACATAGAAAACTCCCCGAACGATACAAATAATCATACTCATGAATACAAAAATCTGTACCGTGCGAGGAATTGCACACGCGACTATAGAAAGTAAAGCGGTGTATTGTAATGGTGTAGTGTCATTGTAATATACTAATGTGAAATGAAATGAAATAATTTATTTGCGAAATATTGGTACAGTATTATAATTAAGATGATGTTACATGAAATTGATTGATCAGCAATATTTACCATACAGGCATGCAAATTACGTGAAGGTGTTTGTGTTACTTAAATATTCTTGGACACTGTAAAAATTACCAAGTGACAGCCAATTCTTTAGTTTGCGTTTGAATAACGTATGAGACCCCAGTTCTTGAATCTCTCTTGGAAGATTGTTGTACACTTTGATTGCCATACAGTATATATTTCTCTTATGTAAGTCTAATCGACACATTGGTGTGTATAGTCTATCATTAGGTCTCGTTACTCGCAGTGTTGTGTCTGTTAATTTCTTAAAATAGTCAGGATGTTCCCTTACAAATATACAAATGTCTTTAATATACATACATGGCAATGAAAGGATGTTTAATTTTTTAAAAAGAGATCGACAACTTTCTCTTACTCTGGCATCACACACAGCTCTTATACATTTATTATATATATATATATTATACATTTCTTTTGCACGATAAATGCCCTAGTAGCATCCACAGAGTTTCCCCATATTATTAATGTGTAATGAACTCATCACCAGAAACACTTACACGAAGAAATAAAACACCCTTACCCTTCTTTGATGACTGCGAGCGATGAGAGTGCATCTGGAACGGAGACGCCAGCTGCTACGAAAGTCAGACCCATTACTGTATCCGGGATTCCCAAGGTATAACCTGAAAATTTGTTTTTAAAAAGAACTTTCAGACATGTCTTGACATAAACTACACTTGAATTATTTATTATTACAAAATTGTATACATTGCGGTCTTAATGCCTTACGACATTTTCTGGCAGATAACGTTAACTATCGCGCTGATCAAAGACGATAAGGTGGTATAATTTAAATAATTTAATATATAAACATACCATAACACATATATATGATACATATTATATATAAGCTAATAGATTATATACAAAATAAATACAAAATTATATATTTGTGTTCGCTGCGGATCGCCAAAAAAATACAGTACAAATTTACGCCCATTCGTGGGCATGAACTCCGGTCGTCATGATGATGTGATGTCCGTGGTGCTGTTCACGTATATAGGCCACAGTTACAATACAGTATTAATAATAACCCTGGACAATTCACACAACGTCGTTTAGTCCCAAGATAAGCAGATGTTGTATTATGAGGACTAGACAACTGATGCAAATACCAATAGTAGCCTCAACTTGGAATGACAACATATCAAGCACAAAAAAGGGAAACGGAAAAAGTCGTAGTAACGGACTTCCGTTACTACGACTACTTAGTCGTGTTACTGTACGATTTTTGTGGTCTATCGGTTTAGTATACCCAATCTATTGCAATAGTCGCTAGTTCAATTCCTCGCAATGTCACTGGATCGGGAGTACTGTTCGGACATCGTCGGCTCGCTGGACTGGCGACTGGCGGCTCGAGAGGGGTGCCAATAGCACCACACCGACCGACCCTCGCTTCTGATCTTGCCACCGAATATTACACGCGCGCTCAATATTCCATCTCATTCTCTGTATTTCAATTATTATACGAAGTTACAGTCCATACTCAAGTTTTAATTTAAACTAGCTTTTGCCCGCGGCTTCGCTCGCGGTAACTTATCCCCTAAGGGGTGGAATTTATCAAAATCATTCCTTAGGGAATACCAACGTCATAGTAACTTTATGCATGCAAAGTCTCAGCCCGATCGGTTTAAAATTGACAAAGTTTTATACAAACTTTCATCCCCTAATGTATCCCCTTGGGGGTAGAATTAATCAAAATCGTTTCTTAGCGGATGCCTACGTCATAACATCTACCTGCATGCCAAATTTCAGCCCGATCTGTCTAGTGGTTTGGGCTGTGCGTTGATAGATCACTATGTCAGTCACCTTTGAATTATATATATTTAGAAGTCCTTAGTGTAGGACCCTACATTACTATGAATAAAAATCAGGAATAATAATATATGTTTTTATAAAAAAAATGTATCTAAAATGTATTTACATCAGTTGTTACGAAAATTTTCCTAGCAACACGTTTCCTATGGAGAGACAATACACGGGGCAGCTATAATAATGTGTACTAAACACGAAGGTTTAAAAATAATAGAACACTGTTGATTATTTATATCCTAGTAAATATTACAAATATATGTACACAATAAAATATACTTACCAATGATCGTAATCATCCACACCATGAAGTACGAGTAGAAGGATATCCAGAGCATGGAGATGATGAAGGTGATGGGGTACCAGCGGCCGCGGCAGTCGGGCATCGTGTGACGGCACGACCAGTGGATCGGGAACGCCACGTACCAGCACGCCAGTTGCAGATTGTCTGGATAATACCGGAGTTAAATTAAATTAACTAATTAGGAAAAATCACTTCTTACCTGTTTTATTTTTATTATGCTTTCTATTGCCTGGAATACAGTGATTGGTTTTAAAACAAAATCGCGATCAGAGAGTGTATGTTGTTGACTGGTAAAGAATATCATAGGCATTAAGTCCGCCATATGTACATTATCATTCTGTGTGTACAAAATAATATAATATATCTGAACCAAAGGTAAGGGCACAGATAACATAATATTACTTAGTAAAGGTTAAGGGTTTGTGCTGACTAAAGAAGGATAGTATTACCACAGATAACATAATATTACCTGACATTTCCAAACCCTTCTGTCCTGTATTTGAGTAGTACGAATCTACATTTTTAGCCAAAAACACTAAATGAAAATAAAGGGGTATTTATTGTTGGGACAAATTCGCCGTTTCTTACTAGTTTTATCCTTTAGTCCCTAGTTGGTCTTTGTGGCATTCGTATGACTCCCCCGTGAGTCCAGTTTGTTGTTTTGTAAGGAATGTTTGTCAATTGTTTCATAAGGAAAGTTATTCAAACGCAAAGAAAACTAAATTTATATTAGTAAGAGGAAAAAATGTCGCGTTACTTACTTGCACCAACTGGCTTGACGAGTGGATCGACGGCAGTCTCAGGATTGTATTCCTTCGCTTTGTAGTATGCCGGCTGAACGGGCTGAAATGATCAACATCATTGACTTCATAACACTAAACATATATTTCTCTACGTAATATCAAACAAAATATTTAATTAATTTATACAATAAAATTTATAATTGACAAGACATCAAGTAAAATTATTCTGTTTCGTACCCGACCCAAAGGCGCTTGCAGCATTTATATGCTTGCAGCATTTATATGCATGCAGCATTTATATGCTGAATTACTAGAGAATTACTTTAAGTCGCTAGTGCAGTTGTCTTATAAAAAAATTATATCCGTTATTACTGTAGAAACTACGTAATTGTAAAATATTTTACAAACATTCAATTGTAGATATTAGAGCGGTTTGCCATACTTACTATAAGTAATTACAAGGATTATAATAAGAAATTTAGATATAAAATATTTTTTTTACGCAACTGAAATCGCAAGCAACTGACAATACCTAAGTAAGTAGTACTAACTCGGGAATGCAAATGATTAAATAGTCTTTGAGAAAGCCTGACTTTTAGCTCGTATTGATTTTGCATCCATTAAATACCGAGAAACTCATTACTTACCTAATGAATTATATTATTTTGTTTAATTCCGTTACAAGTAGTATGTGGGAGACCACAAATATTCAGTGCGGAAACCTGACCAGGGCTATTCGAAGCGTTACGTTCTATTAGTGATGAAATTCCGACCGTTAGTGGATCTACACCCATATTGCGTCACGTGTTTCGTCTCTAAACGAGGCATCATCAGGTAGTGAATTGAGTTCGGATATATCTTTAAAGCCTGGTATTGACTATTCGGCTAGTAGGCTGGTATAGGCTAGTGCTACCAGGCAATTGGAGCTTGGTTTTATGAAGAAGGTTCTAAGAGAAGTTTAGTCTTATAAAACTTAGTGTCGACCAGATTACCAGAGCTACCAGTCTAGCAGTGAGTGGTATGGGAGTGTAGTTTTCTATCATATTGCTGTAGGTACCTGTGGTGCTGGTTGGGGTTGCGGTGCTTGTGTAGGCGACTGCACAGATTGCTGTTGCGTCTGTTCCGGCTGCTGCGGAGCTCCGTAGCCTTCCGTGTTCCACCCAGCTGACGGAGGAGCGGCGGCCGGCTGTGACTGCTGTAGATAATAACATTACTACTTGTACCATGTCAGGTTGACTTCCACGAGATTCCCCCTGGAAACTATCATGATAAATTACTAGTGAATTTGTCACGATGGGCTAACTGACCTGACTATACTGACTGACCTGACTTACTATAATTAATATATGTATAATAGTTTAGTGCGATGATGGTAGAAGACCGACTAAGAAATACCGTTTCCTCAACCTTCTCAATAAATCTCCTTCCTTTCTCATACATATATTGCGATGAAAACGATACCATCTTAATATATATTGGAAGAAGATTACGAAAATAAAGGACATAAGCATATGCAAAACGCTGGAAAACTCGTTCGAAAAGAAACTCTATAACAAACTGGCTGGACTGCTGGTAATAGTATATAGGCTATCTCTCTTTTGAAAAAGTTACTCGGCAATACCAGTGGAATGATTATAGTTTTTTTTTACCTCTGACCAAGCATTGTTTGGGTCCCACATAGCATTCGGGTCCCAGGCCTGGGTAGGGTCAGCGTTGTACGCCGCGTTGTCATATGCGCCATCTGGGTGGTATGCTGGAAATTAAAAAAATCTTATTAAAAAAAAACAATTAATCTCAGAAAAAAAGAAAGGAAGTAAACCTCTTTGACATACCAAAACCGATCCAAATTCATATCTAATACAGATGTTTATGGTAAGTCAAATTCTATCTACAATTTAATTGACGGCCTCGGTGGACTAGTGATTAGATGCACACCGACTTCTGATTGTCTGAAGTTCGATTCGTCGCACGATATAAACATTTGTATTCATAAGTATGATTGTTTGTATCGGTCTGGATGATTTCCATGTACAATGTATGTTTCATATACACTTTCAAATACATTATGTATTTGTGCGCAAACTTCCGAATGCGCGCGCTGGCTTTCCCGCTAAAAAGCGTGCGCTCCTGATCGCGGTTGAAGGAATGTATAATATAATATAAAGGCTGCTAATCCATCGGCAGCTGTAACCTGAACACTTCAGTCCCCGAAGCAAAATTGTTCACTAGTGTTACGGAAGAGCTAAATAAATATTGATGACAGATAAAATAAGTAATGACTATTTAAAAGTGCGTCAATGTAAGTTTATTTTAATAAACAATTCTATTCTATTCTAATAATTAATAATCTATTCTATTGAAGATCGTTAAGTCTTGAACGAGAAAAGTCAATTGACGCATTTCATAATTTTTATCACTTTCTTTTTTAGTGTAGTGAGGAAACTCATAATTTGTTAAACGTTTTGAAACTACTAGCTACTTACGTGCATTTTGTATTGGTGTTTCTTTGGTCTGTCCTTCCATCTGTGTGTACTGGCCTTCGACTCCTGGCGCACTAGCTGGGGGCTGGGCACCTGCGCTCCTAGAAATAACAAGTATATTAAGTTAATAATAATAATAGTACATGATTTCATGACAGTTATAAGTAATTCTCTGAAACTTAATAAAGCTGTGTTGAAAAAGTTTAGATTATAGGAAAACTGGTATAAAACTATTTTTTTAATTTTGATGTCTCGCACTGTATATCTATATATAAAGTACGATTTGCATAAGAGACCAAAATGTCCTATATGAATATGTTATGACTGTGAAAAAGATAATATAAAAATACGAGTAATAGATTTATAGGTGCTAGTCGAAATAGTAAAAAAATCTATATTTTTTCTTTTTTTGCTTGATATAAATGACCTAAACTGGTCTACTATCTGATCTACATAAGCCTGGATTGCCCACGGTCTCAGTTTAGCAGACCGCCTTACTTCCGATGTTCAAGGGTTCAATTCCTCGCACGGTACAAATATTCGTATTCATAAATATGATTGTTTGTATCTGTCTGAGTATTTTCTAAATATATTCAATATATTACTATATTATTATTATTAGGACTACACATAAATACTGAAAGGATTGATATTGTCTGAAATGTGTACCTATTGTATAAATAATATTGTAACGATCCTTCTGAATTTAATAAAGATTATTATTATTATTATTATTATATTATTAACAAACAAAATTTTAATGTAAATGTATTAAACCGAACATAGCGTATAAAGCAAACTATAGTAGGTACTTGGCGGTTAAAATATGTAAGACAAAGTAAGCAGACAGCTTTGATTTGTAATTAATTTAGAATAATTACATACATTTATCTTGCGGCACTGTGATACAAATAAAGTAATTGTAAAATATAAAACACTGATTTCCATTTTCCATTAAATTCGCGTAACTTTATCTTCAAACTGGTGAAGATAAAGTTACGTGAATGAAAGTAAAGGAAAGTAGCGAGTTCGATTTGCTTCAGTAAACTAAAGAGATAGTTATAGTTGTGAAAGTATGTTTCGATATTTATTAATTAATTCATCTGGAGACGCATTCCTCGTTATCTAATCTTCCTTTTATTTATTTATTATAAATCATATCATACTAAAGTTAAAATCTCAGAACATTCACACAGCGCCATCTAGTTCCAAGCTAAGCTAGCTAGAGCTTGTGTTATGGGTATTAGACAACTGATACAAATACATAGTTCATTTTTTTTTGTAAATACATAATATGCATAAAAACTCTCAGATTTATACAAATAATCATAGTTATAAATACAAATGTATGTATTGTGAGAGCGATGTGCTAAAACGCTAGACCACTGTGACCGTCAGTGAATATAGATAGGCCGTCATAAACTCAACTAGTACATTTATATTGATGTTATTTTTTTCAACATCATCATCATCATCATCGCAGCCCAAAAGACGTCCACTTTTGAACATAGGCCTCCTCCAAAGATCTCCACAATCGGTCCTGCGGTGCTCGCATCTAATGCCTTCCAGCGATCTTGATCAGATCGGCGGTCCACCTTGCTGGAGGCCTTCCCACGCTGTGTCTTCCGGTCCGTGGTCGCCACTCGAAGACTTTACTATACACTATTATGTAATTTTTTTAACCAAATGCTATTGTTTTTGGCAATACCGGTTAACTCCTAAAACTTACTTGTAAGTAACTAATGCGGCCTGCTCCTCCCTTGTCGGCAGTTTGAACGGCAACGGCAGCTTCATCGCCCATTGCTCCAGTGCTGTGTTGAAGCGCAAGGCGATGCAGTACACGCCATACATTATCAGCATGAATAGAGCTTCCGGCCTGCAAAGAAAATAATTGAAAACTTTAGAGAGAATATAGGTAGATATAACAAGGCAGCAGTATTGCTGAAAGCGATCTTTTCAAGGCAACCTTAGGGATTTAAATAAAAAGGATTTATATATCGTATCAGGTAAGATGCAAGCAGGAGAAAAGTAAAACAAAATAACAGATATATATTGACGCTGAAGGAAAATAATATTAAATATAATATGAATTAAAATGTATGTAAATAATAATAATGACATATAAAATTTTAATGAATAATAATGGAATACACCAGCCTGTGCTGGCACCAGTATATGCTGGCAGGGCACTAGGGGAAGATCAGTTGGTGCATTGTAGCAAATTCACCAGACATTTAGGACTAGTGGTTTTGGTTTCGAAATAAATAAATAAATAAACAACATGTCTATATCTAGATACAATAATTTACTCCTTCCCAGTTTAATCCTTGAAATAAAAGATAATCTAGCCTACATTCGTCAATACTCCTTTATGGTAAATTTCATTACAATCCGTTTAAGTCGTGAATAGTAAATGACAGGATGTAAAAATTAGTTATTTTTAATATCTTGAATTTATTCGTTAAGTTTAATAAAAACTATAATTTGGATGATTAAACAAAAATAGTACTTTGCCTTGATCGATTTCGAATATGAAAATTCAGTTCGTTATATAGAGAAGAAAAAGATGAGCTCGTGAGCGTGAGCGCCAATCACAAAGATTTTCCCTTATTGAATTTTAATATTGCTTGTTTTTACGACAGTAATAAATTTAGAAATAGACAGACAGACTTTCGCACGGGTGTCCATGTATTATATATAAACCTTCCTCTAGAATCACTCTACCTATTAAAAAAACCGCTTCAAAATCCGTTGCGTAGTTTTAAAGATACCTACATAGCGACAGACAGCGACAGCGATTTTATTCTATACTATGTAAGAATGATGATGATGGAGGCATGGATAGGCTTACCAAGACACATATCCGTTAGCAATGGTGCACAGCATGACCAGTATGGAGACGGCGTAGAAGAAACAGTCCCTGCAAAGCGGCCACCAGTTGAGGTGCGACACGGTGCCGGCGCACAGCGCGCACACCGATATCACGAACATTATGTTGAACACCGCCGAACCTATTACGCCGGACACGCCTGTAACAAAAACAAATTATATACCTTCGAAACCAGATATATGAATTCAACATTGTAAGAGATATTATCGTTGTCTTTCGAATGAATTCGATTTACTTGTTTTAGTCCATGTTTGTATTAACCAATATTTGTGAACGGCGCAGTATCGGCATCTTCCACCGGTTCCTATTAGCCGTCGTATCTGAATTTTGCTGTCAAAGATCAAGTAAGAGAACGATAGAGCCATTGCAGACCCAGCAAAATTTTGCAGAAACAACTCCCTTCAACTTCAACCATAGTGGTTTATTTTATACAAATATAAAGTTGCATCGGCAGTCAGTTTCCTCAATTATCACGTACCGATATCATCTTGAGCACAAAACACGCCGATGACAACAGTAGCCAACTCTGGTGCCGAGCTGCCGGCCGCCATGAACGTAGCACCGGCCACATCAGGCGCCAGTTTCAGTTCTGTGGATAATTTATTTATTTATGTAATCATATACGTCTCTGCATTATTATATAAATGTACATGTTGATGTGATAGCAAAAAAACAACATTATACTTCGAGATCAGTTAATTTATTTTAATCAGACCTTTTATGAATCAGCCATTATAGAATATAGAACATTAAATTAATATCATCAAAAACAAAAAATTACGCAAGCATTAGGAAAACGCAGAATATGTCCAGTCTTGTTCTTTATAATGTTACTTCTCTAGAAATATACATCTTATTTCTCTCTCTCTCTCTCTCTCTCTCTCTCTCTGTTAGTTGGTAGTTTGTATTGATACATTACAATTAAAAATGTAAAGTTAAAAATTTAATACAGTTTTAAATTATTTAAAATTGCAACGCGCAAGATTCTTGCTCGTTCTTCTCGTGATTGATCTTTCCGTAGGAGGAAGAGATTAAAATAATTTGTGATCACTATTAAGAAGTGCTTCAATGTAAGTTAGTTTATTTGAATAAATAATTTTCTATTTTATTCTAGAGAAAAATAAGTCACAAATATTAGTTTCGAAATTACAGTTGAAAGCATACGACTGGTCATTTTTAATTGAGTGCTATTGTCCATGTAAAAAAATATAAAGGTTTAAGTTACACTGTAAAAAACCTGACCTTCACAGATCCTGTCAAGGCTGGACACGAAGTACTCATCGCAGACTATGGCAAGGCCGATGAACGTGAACACGGCAACCAAGATATGGATGATAAGCCCGCCGTGTCTGCGAGCGGTTTGGCCCATCAAAGGTCTTGGAAACTGGAAGAAACAAAATAAATAGCGAGATAAGAATATTGTGTAAGTACAGTACAAAATATGAGATGTGGTTTTGTGATGTACAGTGTTTATTTGGTGGATATCACTTATCATTACTTGGATTGGCGTTTTGTTTAATATTGTTAAATTTGTTTGTTTTATATTATACATATTTTTAGATGTGAACTAGTCGACGCGACGTCATACTTGTGGAATTTAACTTTATATTTATTAAGATAAAATAAATGTGAACATGATATCCTCATGCATTGCTATTTTCCGACCTATGATCATGATACCTCTGTATTCTTTAATTTTAAGCTGCTTGGCGGTAGAAATAGGTAAACAGATGAGTGCAATTATTATCCCTAATCTAAAATTTATAATATTTAAAATAATACCTGTTCAATAGCTGGCGGTGTGCAGTTATCTCTAAGTGGATGGAGGGTTGGGACCGCTGGTCGTAAATTTTCCTGTCTCTCCTTCTCTCTAATCTTGGCAGTCTCTTCAGTCTGGAATATAAAAAATAGAAACCTAAAATGCATACCATTAAGTCTTCCATTTCATTATAAATCAATTATAATGAAATGGAAGACCTAATGGTAGTAGAAATACATAAAGAAACAATCACTATTACGAATACAAATGTTTGCAGTACTAATATGTGCGAGGAATCGAACCTGTGACCATCGGAAGGCAGGGTGAAAATATAGTTACAAGTAAACTTTAGTGAATTACCAAATAGTTTTCTTCTTTGCACTTCATGCTATTTAACAAGGATTTCACCATTTCACCTTAAAACCTAAAAGATCGCGATACCATTTACGTTCCCTTCCGCGAAAGTTCAGCATTTTGTATTAGTTATTTTTAAACTTTTGTGTTTAGTATACATACTCGTAATTAACTTAGATAATTGGATTTTAACACAAATAGCTTTGTGGTAAATGAGGTAAATACGTCTCTCAATGTTTCGAGTAGTTTACACCAGCCGTAGTCACGAGTTGACCTTATTTACCATAGATTTATTCGTGTTAAGACTCGATGAATTCTATTAATAAAGCCTTTTGTATTATTAAGACAATTTCCTTAAATAAGCTTAGATATTTTCTATTAACCTCTTTATAGCCTGCATCTTTCATTTTCTTCTTATCATCTTCATCTTCCTCTTCTTCTACAGCAGACTCCTCGTTGTCCCCATTATCCGTATTCTCCGCTTTCTCTTCGTCTTTATCATCTGCTTTGGATTCTTCTTTTGCTGGTTCCTTTTTTTCATCAGTTCCCTCATTTGATATTTTTTCTTCTTTTGTAGAGGCTGAGAAAATTTGATTTATACATGATTTTGAATGTTATATAATCCCAGATACTATAAAAAAGTGGTGTCAGTCATATATGAACATCAGAGAATAATCCGTCATACCCCTAGGATAGGGGATAAGTGTCAAAAGAGATAGAGAGTGAGATAAGTGTGTCCACACTTATCTCCTCCCCTCCTGTTGACACTACACATAGCATTGATACTACAAATGGTTAAAATATTGCATTTTAAAAGACACATCTCATACTGCAAATCGGAATTAGCACACCAGATATTAACAATATTGACATGGAGCGATAGATAATTTCGAGCACGTAGCTGCTACTATTTTTCTTATACTTCAATTATACGAGTATGTAAGTAATTGGGAATATTCAATAAGAAAATACGGATATATCAAGAGGATACATGCGTACGTACTAATATTAATAACCTTTTAATTAATAAAGGTTGTTACTTGTCTGTTTGTTTGATACAATTACGACTAAACAGAACGTCTGAAGTGATCGTAAAAAAATTTGCGGTTTCCATAAAATTCAGTTCCAATACTAATTCAGAAAAAAGTAAGTAAAGTACCTTTATCTAATTCCTTGTCTATGGGAGTAGTTTTTTTCTCCGACGGTTCAGGGTTGGCGTCATTGGCTGGTTCCGATGCTGTTGACGAGGTCATCGCCGCTTGGAACACAGAGTACGCGATGAAGAATACGGAGACCGTCAGCCACCGGTGGCGGCGAGGCCTACGCATCCTCTGTAAATAAACGAAATTATTTAATAAAAGCAATATTTAATAATAATAATAATAATAACATCTTAATCTACATACATACGTATGTATTGCTCACACATATTAATAAAATTGCTGTGTCTGTTTGTAATATTGATATAACCGTTTTTTACTACATACATAAAATAACATTTTTAATAATTTTTGTCTGTCTGTCTGTTTGTTCCGGCTAATCTCTGAAACGGCTGGATCGATTTTGACGGTACTTTTATTGCCAGGTAGCTGATGTAATAAGGAGTAATTTAGACTACGTTTGTTGTAGAAAATTTCTTTAATTGTAGCTAATTATTGGCAGTTTCAAAATGTTACAAACGTGCACTTAAATTCGCCTTTGTATTTATGAGAACTTTTATATTAGCGACACTTATCTGACTTATCTAATTTTTTTAAACTATGATGGTGGCAAACAAGCATACAGCCCATCTGGTACATAGTCACCGTAATCTATAGAAGCATAAAACTGCAGACTGCAGACAACTGAATAGCCGTCTTGAAAAAAAATTTACATAATAAAAAAAACAACATGTATAGACAACTCCGTTTAAAATACTCAAGAAGCCACAAATAAAATCGTCTGTAATAATTATCAGTAATAAAATGACATTAATTCCTAGCTGGAAACAATGACAGCTATGCTGAAACCGATACAGAATAAATTTCTTTATAGGTCGGTAGTAAATATCGTCTTTCTATTATTATTATTTGGAAGAGTACTTGGGACATAAAAGGTTACGATTCAGACGTAAATTCGTCATAAAATTCAACCCTAATAAATGTTGGAGTTTATTGAGTGAGAAATTATGATTTCACTGAAATATGTCTTGGTAAATAGATTTTGCTCGGAGATTTAAAATTATTTCAATTTAATTCCAGTACAAATTGTTTTGTTAATACCTACTACAATATTTAACGTAAACTAATATTTATTTCTTTATTTACTTTTAGGGACCATCAACATATGTATAATAACATCAATACAATATGTCGTGCTTCTATGTAACAGTCTATAAACTGTTATATATATATATATTTACAGGTAGCCACAGCTTGCTCTGTGTACAAACTTTATATTCTACTATTACATTTATCTAAATTAAATAAAGTTGAATGTTATTGATATTATTAAATTACTCTGTTGTGATGTGACAAAGAACGTCAACTTTTGAATTTCAGTTTCAATCATCAGATTCAGATTTAGTATTTCAGGTACATGTTATAATAGATAGTTTTGATATTACAAAATATGAGGCACGACATCTTAGTCTTCTGGACTCAAAATCTTTATCCATGTAGGTCTATTACAGACTCATATGATATGTCAAATCTACCGTCAGTTCGGAGTGCTGTCGAGCAAAGAAGAATTGACATGAAATTCAACTCTTATTCTTTACAATGAGTTTACAAAACGGATTCATTTTTAAATTCAAAAGAAGAATAGAATGATCAATAGTATATGCTATTGCAATTTTGTCAAAAGAAAATAGTCTAATCAGTGTCCGTAACCCGAACAGACCAGTCCCCGCAAGACGTATGAGTGGTATCACGGATGTAAGTTGATAACGTGATGTCCGTAATGACGGTTTTTTGATATGTCAATTTGACTTTCATGAGGTTCCCCTTGGAAATCGTCGTGAAAAATTCCTGATGAATTTGCCACGGTGGACTAATTGATCTGTCCTCATGTTCATCTTATCATTCTACAAGGTTTACGCTGGCGGGGCGTAAATCGTTAATGCTGGTGCAGCATTCAATTATCAACCATTAAAAAAATATACGTACCAATAACACCACATCCGGTCAAAATATTAACTATTTCTACACTTCGAGTTCAGTAACAAATTAAATCAGTCTCAGATCCTGATGTTCTATATAAAAGCACAATAAAAGTAAAATAAAAGTCTGGCTTCATTTAATTTCTCCCGCTGTCGACCTTGTTTTTATCTATTATACAGCCGGCGGCAATGACTCGCGATAGCAATTTCATTTAAATAAATCAATCGACAGATTGATTCATTCGAGAATGTAGCTATTATTTTTTTTTGAGATCACTTTTTTACGTAACTGGAAGATAATCTGATGAATACCATAGACGTCACTGAATTTATATAAAAACTGAACGTCAAAATAGTTTGTTGAAATATTGCTACAAATAGAAATACCACATTTAAAACTTTACATACAAAATAAAATTACATAAAAGCTCATCACTTTAAGCGTTGATCATTTCTGAGGACTCAGGTGTCATTTTTTTCAACACAGTCTCAACTTTTGAGCTGAATGCAGCTTGTGGGAAACATTACGGAGAAATCCAAGCGCCAATAAGCCATGGTCAACTTCGGAAAGTAGAAAAATTGGTTACTTCTGTAAAATATCGCCTTCGCTTGGGAGATGTCTGCTCTTCTACATTTAATATTTCTAAAGAATAGATGAAGGAACTCCGGAACATCTTTTCTTCAACTGCCCAAATTCATCAATTATCTTTTATGATATCCTACCATCATGAAAATCATCGATCAAAATTGGTGGCAGCCATTTCAAACATAGAAGAAGAATCAGCTTATAAATGGAGCTGCAGGCGGTAGAAAACGATGAAACACTTATGGCAGAAGGTTAATCTCCAGGAACGGCAACTAATAAGAGGCACGAAGGTCGTCACAATGTATTTTTGACATGCGTCTTAGTAAGTTAATAAATTGCGCATATTTATCAAACTGATAAGTGGATTCAACTAAATAATTTATGTAGAGAATTGTCATGTTGTGCGGTAGTGTCTAGTAAGGGTTTTCCTTGGGGAGAGATTCGGCAAATTTACGTTGTCTGTGGTACACTTACGCCCAAATATATGGTACACATATTGTATTGCAACAATATTATAAGTGTTTGTCGTTTACTTATTTATGACTCGTCGATTTAAATTAAATTTATTTAACTATATAAATTTATTTAGTTTTATAATTATTATATAAATAAATAATAATAAGGGGACAGTTTACACCACCTAGTCCCAAGCATAGATTGTGTTATGAGTACTAGACAACTTATACAAATAAGTACTTGAATACGTTTTTATAAATACATATATATAATATATACAGAAAATATTTGGGTGTTTTTTATTTATATAATATAGACACGGGTACATGCAGTACACACTTTCTCATTCAATTTTACATACTATGTTATTCTGAGAGAGAAAGAATGTCATTCTGGTTTATAATCTATAGAAGTATATAGTAAAGTTTCATCCGTTCAATCCGATCAGGAGTTTTTATCCATCCATATATAAAATCGCAATCAAAGCATTTATTCATGTAGGACATTTTAACCGCTTATGAATGTCAAATTTATTGTTTAACTAGCTGTTCCGGCAAACGTTATTTTGCCTTAAAATAAAAAAAAATTAGGGGTGGACTACCCCTAACATTTAGGGGGATGAAAAATAGATGTTGGCCGATTCTCAGACCTACTCAATATGCTCACAAAATTTCATGAGAATCGGTCAAGCCGTTTCGGAGGAGTAGGGGAACGAAAACTGTGACACGAGAATTTTATATATAAGATAACAACCCTGGTTTATTCACACAACGTCCAGTTCAGTATACTGAACTTAATTGATAGTCAATAGAGAAGAACTAGCAAGCAACTTAAGTGCTCTATCCATATCCATCCATAATCACAAAGCTTCGCGTTAACATATTATTTTATCTGTGATATTACTAAGATTAGTCATCATCTGCTTCATCCTTATCCCATTTATTTGGGGTCGGCGTAATATGTTTTTCGTTTCCATTCATCCCTGTTCGCAGTCATCGCGTTATTTACTTCCTCTAATGTATCCATCTCTTTTTTGGCCTTCCTCTGCCCTTATAACCATCCACATTCATTTGTAACATCTTTCTTAAAATATTATCCTCGTTCATACGCATTACATGTCCATACCATGATAGACGATTACTCTTCAACCTCTCTGACACCGGTGCCACTTTCATACTTCCTCTAATGTATTCATTCTTTATCTTACTAAGATTAGTGTGGGTTCAAATCTTTTGGCCAACAGTGTACATCAGAGCTACGTAATACAGTAGTCAATCCGGCGATGTACAAGATTGTACAAGCTATATAGCGCCACTTTCACGCTATTTGCCTCCTCTGTACTCTGTACAATACACGAGCTTACTTTATTGGGCTGTAACAGACGATGGGCTGCGATCTTGGAATGTTCTCGAAATGTATTGACGTCACCTGACTCAGTCGAGTCTTACAGGACAGATTATAGTTATATTATGAGTTGTTACTGATTTTGGAATTATAATTGATTAAATTGTCTCCCATTCACTATTAAATATTCCTGGTACTAATATATTTTCAGATCTGTACCATTGATTATTACAAATAGGAATATTATTGTTTTCTATTTTATACTACTGGTACGTCTTCTTAATTGCACACCTATATTATAACGCTAATATACTCTTCATTTACTACAATCTGAAATGATAGACACATGTACAAGTGTTTTAAGATTGTAATTGACCTTTTAATCATTAATTTTTGGTAAACATCCAATTAATTAAGCGATAACTTATGTAGTTATGCAAATAGAGATAATAAATAGGATTATAATTTAATTTAATGACCCTCCTTTTAGTTTACACTTCTAGTACGATGTAATCAGAACCTGCATATCTAAAAAAAACAAAACTTCTTCTGTTTAAGTTAAAAAATAAAAATAGTTATTTATTTTCATAAATTATATATAACTAGCTGTACTCGCGGTTTCACCCGTGGTTAATTACAATTAAAAATTTAGCCTATTTGTTATTCTGATGCATAAGCTATATTACTGTAAAGTTTCATTAAAATCCGTTCAGTAGTTTTTGTGTGAAAGAGTAACAAACATCCATACTTACAAACTTTCGCATTTATAATATTAAAAATAATAAGATTAAGAGGTAAAATGCTTACCAAAG